GGGGGGGGGGATCTATGCTTGACGTTTTACAATTACATTGGTGAAGCGTCTATCCTGATGAAGATGGGACGAGCGCAGAGGGGAGACGCGAGCGCAAGAAGATGGTCTTGGACATAGCCATTATTGTGGGAATTGCTAGAAGTGAGAACCTGAGCGAGACGTCTTGTCGAGATCTAAAAAGAAAAGGGTTTGACGTGGAGCGTCTTCTCCGACCAATTTTGCTCAAGCGTCCTCCCTCTGCACATCAACTTCTCCATCTCGACACTTTCTTCTCCTGATTGGCCAACCTTTTCTCTTGCTGGCCCCGCTTTTTCACATCTCCTCCTCTTGGCCCCTCGCATCGTCGACCTCGGGCGCAGCATCGACCAAATCATCCTCCTCCTCATCCTCCTCCTCTTCGTACCCATTCAACAGCTCATCCTCCAACTCTCCATCCGCTTCGATCCTATCATATTGCTGCCTCTGCGCAGCCGACCTAGCCCTATGATTGTCCCTCAGTTGTCGAGACTGTTCGGCTGGAGTAAGTGGATCAGACTGTTCCAGTTGTTCCACGTCCTCTGACGCATGCGCATGCGCGTGCTCGGGATGATAGGACCCGTTGGATGGGTCATACGATGTCGGTGCGGGCGCGCCTTCTAGTGGGAAATGAACAGAGATGAGCCAGAGAAGATGTTCCATCTGTTCCGAATTCAGACGCTCCGATAATTCTTCCACCACCTGCGAGGGGAAAAAAAAAAAAAAAAAAAAAAAAGCAAAAAAAAAAAAAGCGTGAAGCGGAGAAGGGTTGCAAATCGAGGTGCGTAGCGCGCAGTAGAGGACATTTGATCAGCCGCATCATCCGCATACATGCGCCCCTTCGCCAATATCCCCTTCTTTCCCCCAGCCCCTACCATCCTCCCTTTCTTCCCGCCGTACTTCTCACCGACAACTCACGCAGTGCAGCTCCACAATAGTTCGAGGCGCAAGGTTGACGCACATTAATCTCTCGCCCTTCGTCAACCTCTTATCCCCCAACTCTTCCTCCCTCTCCCACTTCATGAGAGCCTTGATGAACGCCTGTATACTCTGAGCGTTTTGCGCTGCAGCGACGCAAGGTTTATGTTCAGCTTGGAGGTAAAGCAAGGTATCTGCTTGGATGGAACGTAGATTGGGAGGCTGTAGAGAGAGGTAGGAGTTCGTATCGGCAGCAGCGGAGGAGGAGGAGGAGGAGGCGCCGATGGTGGTGATCAGGGAAGTGGCAGGAGCCAAAGAGTTTAGACCGCTCGGGTCGGATGATGCGGTATCCAGCGCATCTACCGGCGTACCGAATACGGCCGGTGTGCGTCTTTTGGAATCTGACTTTTGCTCCGCTTCCATATCTTGAAGCAGGCTCAGCACCTCGTAATCGCTCAAGAGCGCCGCTCGTGGATGAATGACCTTCATATTGGCTTGGCTGTGAATCCTGTGCGCAGCGTTGAGCTTGATCTTGAGCTTGAGCTTGGACACGCTCTTTGGCTTGTCCCTGCTCGATGAGTCCCTTGCTCGATTGCTTGCGCCGAGGAGCAGCGCATGGGGTGTTGTCGATCGAGATTGCAAGTCTTGTTCCAAGTCAGCGTCGGGAAACGTGGTGCTCGGCTCAGAAAAGAAGTGGTGGGACAGGTGCTTAGCTGCGACCTCTAGAGCGTGTATCTTTTGCCGTTGTGGTGCAATTGTGAATCACGAATCAAGAATCGGAAATTGAATCGAATCAAGAATCAAGAATCAAGAACAAATGCCAAAAGCGCAGATCACGTGACTTGCACTTTCGGCCCATCTATCAAAAACCAAGAATCACGTGAATCAAGAATTTTGAATGTACCTATGCACAGCGCGAGCTGCTGCGAAGCCAAAATTTGGAAGAAGCAGGAAATGATGAATAAATAATCTTTCATGAGTAGTAGCACGGTAAGCAGGAATAATCACGAATCACGAAGTTGAAATTCGAATGATCAAGTCACGAAAAAGCAAAGCCGTCAAGGTGAGTCTTGAGTCCGCATATCAAGTATTTGGCCCCCCCCCCCCCCCCCCCCCCCCCCCCCCAGACTCTCGGTCTCACCATCGCCATCGCCTGTTCATCACGAACCACGAGACAGATTCCAACGATCCTTCATCCATTCCCCTCGACGCTTCACGCCTTTCACCAACCTTTGTCTCCTTGCCCCTCTCGCCCGCCTCTAAATCCACTATCCCACCACACACACATACGCACACGTACACCATGCTACGTCGACAAGCGCGGGAGCGTCGAGAGTACATGTACCTCAAAGCCTCCGAAGCGCGCGAAAGGCAAATCTTTGAGCGCAAACAAAAGATTCGACAGTTGATTGCGGAGGGCAAGAGCATTCCTAAAGAGTTGATGGATGGCCTGCAAGGTGGTGATGATGCGAGAAACGGGTTTGGTGGGATGGGTGCTGGGGCAGCGTTGAAGGTGGATGAGGCTCAGGCAGGTGAGTGGGAAGTGGGAAGTTGGGGAAGTGGGAGTGGGGAGCGGGGATGCATGAATAGAAAGTGGATGACAACGCTCGACTGACTGTTTGGCATGGCATGGCTCACGTACGCGCTGTCGCTGTCGCTGCGCTCACGTTGTCCGCTGTCACGCGTACCAACAGACGTGATGACGTCGTTGGACTCGGAGTACGCTCGAGCAGGAACGTACGATCCCAAGATCCTCATCACCACCTCTCGCGATCCCTCTTCGCGTCTCTCGCAGTTCGCCAAAGAGATTCGATTATGCTTGCCCAACAGCACGCGCATCAATCGAGGAGGCTATACGGTCGGTGAATTGGCAGCTGCTGCTAGATCCAACGGAATGACGGACATGATTGTGCTGCACGAACACAGAGGCCTACCCGATGCCATGGTCGTCAGCCACTTTCCGCACGGTCCCACCCTGCTCTTCACCCTATCGGGCGTGGTGCTGAGACACGAAGTCAGCGCTCATGCTCAGAGCACAGTCAGCGAACAATATCCTCACCTCCTATTCGAAGGTTTCAACTCCAAATTGGGAAGCAGAGTCATGGATGCTCTCAGGTTCCTCTTTCCCGTACCCAAAGAGGATTCCAAAAGGGTCATGACTTTTGCAAATCAAGGAGATTACATCAGTTTCAGGTGAGTCTCTATTGCCTGCTCCATTCGAATCATTTGCTCCATCGAACTTCTTCATTCTCCCCCCGCTCACACCGCACCTCCTCATTCACTGACTGATCCCTGCCGCCCCTCGTCTCCCCTCTCCCGGTCTACGATCTTCCGGGCCCCCCCACTCCGCTACTCAAAAGACATCACGTCTTTGTCAAAACTTCCCACAGAGAGGTTCAACTGGCAGAAGTGGGTCCAAGGTTCGAAATGCGTCCCTACGAGATCAGGCAGGGAACGGTGGAACAGACGGATGCAGATGTGGAGTGGGTCTTGAGACCATTCATGAATTCCGGCAGGAAGCGCAACCAGCTTTAAAGGAGAAATCAGCGCCGCGATGCATTGCGATGCGGTGCGGTGCGGTGCGTAGCGGTGCACAGGCCAGTTCCGTCACGCTCGTCCACCCTTGTATTTGTAATGTGCATCTCTAGTCCTTGTGCTGCGATCCACGCTTCTATACATCGTCGCTTGTACGCTTGAGTTATCCGAGCATTCAGCAGGTCTGAAGTGCACCTATTGAGCAGCAGCATCACACGAGCGCCAACCGTTGCATCCCTCTTTGCAAGCCCATCTCATCGGTCCCTTGCCGCTGCTGCTGGTGCTGGTGCTGCTCCTGAAAGTGCAAAATGTAGTTTCCAAACCATCTCGTGCCGCCTCCCGCTGCATTCTCGTCCCTGAGTAGCGCACCGGACATTTCGGCCAGCTGCAGCATCTCCGATATGAATGCTATGGGCGCCGATTCTAGATTGGCCAATTGAGCCGTCGACAGTCCCTCGCCCCACGGTGATACTTCCACATTGCGCTCCACATCGCGCGCTTCCGCCTCCGCCTCCGCATCCGCCTCCGTTTCGTCGTTGTTGGTCTGTGGGACGGACTGGGTGGAAGAGTGTTCTTGCGATGTGAACGGGTACAAATACCTCTTGATTCTCATCTGGAAGGATTCGTCGGACCATCTAGGCGTATGAAGCACCCTCAATCCCGAACTGAGCACCCTCATCCGTATAATCGGACTCGTCACCAAGGGCAACACATCCACCACTTTTCTAAATGTGGCCGGAGAGATGAGCGCTACGCCTCTTGCCCTATTCCAAATCACCCACGCTTCGTCTAGACCCATCATGCCTGTGAAGTTCGAATCAATAGACTCGGACGGATCGTCGGCGGCCGGTGTACTTGTAGCAGCTAGGGTCGTCCCTTCTTGCCGAGCATGTATAACCCTGCCCCGGCCCATCAGACCTCCAGTCGCGTTCGGACTTGCTCGAGAAGAAGCGTCCCGCGCAGCGCTTCCGCTTCCAAAGAGCAAACCAGCCAATTCCTTTGCCAAGCCCAACAAGAATTCCTTTTCGTCCTTTGCGTCCGTCTTGAGCAGTGCCGGATTCTTCAATCCCAACGTGACCATGGAATGGCTGATCAAGCTCTGCGTCTCTTCGCTCACGGACTCGTCGCCGATCGCTTTGGCTTTTGCCAGCTTGAGCGACAAGGAGGATGCGAGATCCACCATCCTCCGAGCTTGAGAGGCTAGCGCTTCCAGATCGGAAAAGGCAATGCTGAGCGATTGATTGTCCGCTTGTGCTCGCGCGTCCACTGCGGAGAGGATCCCATCTATCCCGATGGGTCTGCGTGTACCCTCGGGTAATGATGCGTGAGCCGCAGCAGGTGAGTGTGCGCCCGGACTACTGCGCGCGGTCGGACTGGACAAAGAGAGCGGAGATGCTCGCCGTTCAGGATTTGAAGAGAAATCATGCAACAAGGACATCCTCGAGTCCGTCGCGTCTTCCCACGCTCGAGCTCGTAGAGCTCCTTTGAGCGCACTGTAAAACGTCTTATCCTTGCCTTCCCTAAAGGCAATCTTGAGCGATTCCAAACCATTCACAGCACCATTTGTTGACTCGGTCGGTTTCTGCCCATGCCATCTGCCATCGTTTCCGCCTTTTGATGTGAGCGACAGCTTGGAGCTGGTCGAAGAGAGCGGCGCTCCGCACAATTCGCACGTGGGCAGGTAAGGATGATTGGCGAATGTGCAAATCGGACAGATATTGCTGCTAGAGCGCCTCTTTGCAGTCGGGATGTGGGATTCATCTTGCCCCGCAGTGGTGGTTGCAGTGGCAGTGGCAGGTTCGCCGCGACTTGGGCCCACCTGCCTGCTCGGCAACCTGTACTCCAGCTCATCACCTCCAGATGACTGGCTGGTCGAGGAACCGCGAGGATCTGTTGGACCAGACGTTGTCGCAGGTGGCCGCGGCGCTGCCGGAGCGCGGCCCGCATTCTCTTGAGCCGACGCTTTCTGCTTGGGTACGCCGCACAGCTGACACACCGAGCTGGCCTGATTTGAAAAGGTGCAAATGGCACAAACCCATGCATCACCGTCCGAGGCGTACTGCAGGTCATTCTGCGCGGCGGACGCTGCTGGGTGTCTGAACGCCGAGGTGCTCGATGGTCGAGTGGAAGCGCTTGGCGGCGGAGCAGCGACTGCGGAAGGCATACGCTCGGATTGCGTTGATGTGCCGGGCGGAGCGAGCAGAAGAGAAACTTTGGGGCTCGAGCTCAGGAATCCGGCGTAGTGCTCAGTCTGCCTGATATCCCTCAGATACACCTCGATGCCATCGTGCGGACTCAGCTCGGCAGCAGGCACAAAGAGGATCCGATGAGTAGTGAGGATGACGAACCCACGCGCATGAGGAGCCGACTTGTCTTCTCTGAGGTACAAGCCCGCTCCGCTGCAGCTGAAGAGGCGCAGTTCGTCCGGTGTGACGGCTACGCTGGTCCAAGGCCTGGCAGGCAGGTCGCTAGGATGATAGGCCTGCCTGATGCACCTGTGCGACATCGCACCGTTTCCGATGGGTACACGCTCAGTGCTGCTTCTCCTGCACACCGTGCAACAGGCCTTCCTCGCCAAACCCTTTCAATTTGCGTTGTACGACGTGCAAGAGGGGGCAAGCATCCACTTCTGCGCTGGGCCCATGCCTCGCGTAAAACTTGCCGCAGCACCTATAAAGATCCTTGACTTGCTCTGAACACTTGTCTTGATCCAAGTGCTTTTGCATGCAGCTTTGCAAGGCGCACGCTCGTGGGTGGCATGCGTTGTCCGAATCCAAAGCGTCAGAGGTCATCTCTCTCTCCTCTCTGGGTGCGTGGCACTGCCGACAGCTGGGGAAGCGGATCGGGGCGTATGGCCTGAGTGTATGCGCTGCTACAACGCTCGATGCAGCTGCATCAGCGCGTTAAACATGAAGAGTGGCGGCAGGCAGCTAGCCAGGTGGCACTTGTGATGGAGGTGGTTTGTTCGAAGACCAGCCTAGGGTAGCTAGACGCGGTGACGATGTGGAGCTGCCGATTCGTCGGGAAAGCGAGTCACGTGGCAAACTTCTCGGGACTCTCGTGCAAGATCGGCATGGCATGCAGATGAGCAGCTTTACTGGGCAAAACGCGACGCGAGCAATTTGGCTGGGTGAATATCCATGCGTGCACTGATCGCGCGCGCGCACGTAAGAGCGCTGGAGCAGTGTCAGCGGGATCCATGCATGACTGCATGCTCGACCGCGCGGCGCGTTTGCGCGTGCTGGATGCATGCCCCGCGCGCGCGCCGCACGCGTAAATGCTGGCCTAACCGCATCCATCCAATCCATCCATCCACCCACAGACGGAGCTTGATCCGCACTTCTGAACTCCATCCACGACCACCACGCTTCCATCCGCCCATCAACATCCGTCAAAGCTTCGTATTTATTGCAGCAAAGCGGTTCCTCTGCCGTGAAAGTCAGCTATTTGGCGCGGAGAGCGATCGTTTGGACCTGGATTCTCACCGCTGGCGCCCAATTCGGAATCCATCCACTCACAGGCGGGAACGACAATTCAATCCTTGTTCGCCTGGTGCACCCCCATTCGTTCTCCCGGATCTTGGCATGGTCATCACTCCTACTTTCTGAAGCATACTACGTCTCGTCAAGATGTTCTACTCAGATGTCATCCTCTCGAAGCGCGGCCCGCTGGGCAACATCTGGCTGGCCGCGCATATGGAGAGAAGGTTGACCAAGGCTGTCCTGCTCAAGACGAGCGTTGGCAAGAGCGTTGGTGAGTGTTGGTCGCGCAACCCTCATCCTGCACATGGACGTGTGTCAAATTGACGTGGCTTGCTTGACACCCCCCAACAGAGGCCATCATGGGCCAGTCCGGCGCACCCATGGCCCTCCGTCTGACTGGTCAGCTACTGCTCGGTGTCGTCCGCATCTACTCTCGCAAAACCAAATATCTACTGGACGATTGCAACGACGCGCTGCTCAAAATCAAGGTTGTGAGTGATTGCATGCTTCTTTGCTTTCCGTCCATCCTGGCTCATCCTCTCTGCTGGCACCGTTGACAGGCCTTCCGATCAGGTGCCGTTGATATGACAACAGACAACCTCAACGCGTCTCGCAACGCCATAACTCTTCAGCCGACCATGACCGAATTCGACATGTACGCGCCGGATGTCGGTCTGGAAGATTGGGATCTTGAAACTGGTCGAGGTGGCACTCCCAGACCACACGGCAGCAAGCGTCCCGGCAGTGGTGCTCAGAGCGGCTCCACTCACTTGGCACGTGCTCAAGACATTACACTGCCGCGTCTTTTGGACGAGAGCTACGAAGACGATGCTGCGTGGGACATGACTCAGACTGGTATTGCCTCGGCAGATTTCGAAGACGGAGGCTTAGACCTTGGACTCGAGCTGGACGACGATGAAGCGGAGAGGAGAGGCTTTGGAGAGGGTCCCGGTGCGGCTGATGATAGTCTCAGCGTGGGCATCGGTCGAGACGCCGCTGGCAGCGAGGTGGGCGCACGCAGTGTCGGCAGCTTGCTCGGCTTGGGTGCAGAGGGCGACGAGACACTTGGAGTGGGCAGGGACAGCCTGGGACCCCTGCCAGATTACGATGATGGCGGCTTTGATTTCCTCGACGGCGGTGACTCTTTGGCACGGGGCTCCGAAGGTGAGTAGGCCAGTCGATGGGGCTTACATCTTGGCAAGGTCTGACGCGTATCATTGCCGTTTCTACAGCGCCCGCGATCACAGACGACACGGTAGACATGACTCCACGCACGGCTGCCAAGATTCGCGAGGCAGCTGAGCGCAGACTGGCGGAAGAGGCCAAGTTGGCTGGCAAAGGCGCAGGCAAGAGACAGATTGTCGATGCGCGCATCGAGCTGGCCGAGGCTGCGCCTGGAAGTCAAAGTCTTGCTCACCTCAACACCGCTGCGCTAGGCCCCGAGTCGTACCTGCCCAAATCTCGCGTCTATCTGCAGTTGCTCGCGATGCAAGCCGACCCCTCCAAGCTGTTCCCTTTCAGCTCGCTCTCCGACAAGCTCGGCAGCGCCTCCCTGTTCGCTGGGCCCCAAGGCCTGGCACCGCAGCTTACGAGCCTCTTCACCTTCGACACGAATGCGCTGAGGAGGAGACGACAGGCGGAGAGCGCAGCTTTGGGAGAGCCCGGCGCAAAGAGGATGCGAACGGAGGAGCTTAGCGAAATCGGACGGCGAGAAGCTTCCAACTTTGACCAGCAGAGCGGGTTTCTGGACCTAGGCGGCGATGACACGTACGGACAGGAGGGATTGGACCTGATGATGGATGATGCGGGCATGCCGGACGTGCTGCCCGAAGCGGGAGGCGAGTTTGCTGAGGAAGCGGGCTTGAGACGGTCCATGAGGAAGAGCAAAGCTGAGGCGGGCGCGACGGAGGAGACCATCACGGGAAGATTGGCGCCTCTTTCTAGACTCGCTACGCCCGAAGGCGACGAGGGACTGGAAGAGGATGAAGGGGTGATTGGATACTCTCCCAGTTCCAGCAACCCGCTAGCAGCATTCGATGCGAGACCGGCGGATGCGGAGAAGCAAGCTGCGGTGCAGAGCGGATTGACGAACAATACGATTAGGGCATTGCGGGTGATGAGGAGCGAGTTGGGAGAGCGCAGAGAGGCGGAAGCGAAGGGCAAAGAGATTAGCTTCGATAGCGTCTCGCAAGGAGCTTCGAGGAGAGCGGCGGCGGGATTCTTCTTCGAGCTGCTCGTGCTCGCTACGAAGGATGCGGTTGCGCTGGATCAACCTGAACCGTATGGAGATATCAGTGTGGCACCAAAGGATGGGCTGTGGGACCTGCCTGCGGGACCGGCTACTAGACGATCCGTCGTTGCACCTGCCATGTAGGCTTTTGATGCGCCATTGGCGCCTCGTGATTCTGCAACGCATAGCCCCAGATCTACAAAACATCGATATATTGCTACTACTACCGGTACTATTCCCCCCCCTCTGCTCTTTGTATCGCTCTGTACATCTGTCTACATCTTACGTTGAATAGCGATCTCGTGCATGGCTTGATGGTTTGCATTTGTTTGCAACCCTGGGCAATGCGTACAGAAGCAGAAGCAGAAGAGCCTCTAGAAGGACGGCACAAGGAACCGATGCACGACCTTTTTGCTCCACGCGCACGCTGATCACGCATGGGCCCTTGCACAAAGCGCACAGGGTGGGGCGCGGGAGTGGGGGGGTTGGGGTCCGAAGAATGATGATGAAAATCGTACGCTAAGCCAAAGTCGTGGAAATTGAAGCAGCGAGCAGTCGTGTTCATTGTGATTGGGTGTCGAAATCGGCTTTCGGAATCGGAATGCCACCGCCTGCATGGAGGGTCGTGATCGACGTGCGCGTCAGCAGGGGCCATTATTCACGATTTCACGATTTCACGATTGATCGAGCTTTGCGCCTTCCATGGGTGGTGCATGCCTGCAGCAATCACGAATATATGCTGGGTGACAGCCACGTGCGAAAGGGGTTTTCTTCTTTTTTTTTACTCGTGCGTGTCGCGCGTCTGCCGTGCGCATATCAGCAAGGCGCGGGCAGCAGGGTGGGCAGGCGCGATGAAGGGCTCGCTGGTGCAAGCAGCGCTGCGTGATCAATGAAATGAAGCTGGCTGGCGGGGAAGGATGAAAGGCCACTCCACTCACTCACTTCATTCGCTCTGAGACTCCGACTGGCCTTTGCGACGATCGCACACTCCTCCACCCTCCCGCCCTCTTCCCCCCTTCGTCCGCTTCAGCATACACACGCGCACGCTCGTACGCACTTACCATCCCCGTCTGCGCTGCCCTTGTCCAATTCGAATTTTGCATACGGAGGGAGGGGAAAAGCCAGCAAGATATGCGCTCCGCTTTGGCTTTGAGAGCGCTGGTCAGACCGTCCTTGTGCGGTCTGTCGGGCAGCAGCCCAACTCCCAGCGTCGTATCCTGCATCAACCTCTCCTCATCCCCATCCCCATCCCCATCCTCATCCGCTTCTGCTTCCGCTTCCGCTTCCCCTTCTAGCGTGCTTCGACATCGCTCCTTCTCTCAGAGCACCTCTGTGGGAGAATCTGCGGCTGATAGTAGGGCAGCAGCAGCGGCAACGGAAGCGCAGGGTGGACAGAGGGGAGGGCAAGAGGGAAAGAGGGATCAGCGACTCAAGAGACAGGCGCGCAAAGGTGCAGAAGAGGAGAAGAGGCAATCGCAGCTGCAAGAGCGGGAAGATGTGAGGAGCGCAGGAGGGCAGTCGATGAGCAAGGTGGATGGGCAAGTAGACGCAGATGCAGACGCGGCTGGAAGAGCTTCGGAGGGCGGTGGCGGCGGCGCATCGGTCAAATCCAAGTCCAACATCGTCTCACCGTTGGATCTCAGCACTTCCAATTTCCCATCGCTCTTGTACGCAGCTCATCCCCTGCTGGATTCCGGTCACACGACGTCGTACAAGGCGGATGAGAGGTACTTTGCAGCGGATCATCACCTCACTCATTTTTCCAGTCGAGGCGTCATTCCAGCTTCTCCCCCATCTGCCGAGTTTTCGGCAAGAGTCGGCCTTGGACCTATAGCGAGCGCATCTGCCGGTTCTGCCGAAGCTCCCGATTCGCGCGGAAATAGAGCTGCGCAGCAATTGTTGGCAAAGGTGACGCCCTTGTCGGTGGAGGAGATTGCGGGTCTGTTCAGACACGTGCTCGCCATCGATCGTGTGGTGCGTCAAACGGGCAAAGGCAAGATACCCAAGATGAGGGCTTTGGTCTTGGCTGGCAATGGCAGAGGATTGATAGGCGTCGGAACGGCAAAGGATGAAATCGCCAATATGGCGGTGGACAAGGCTTTTAAGAATGCCGTGACCAACATGGATTATATCGATCGATTCGAAGGAAGGACTGTACACGCTACGATGGAGGCTAAATGGGGAGCCACTCGAGTCACTCTGAGACCAAGACCGCCTGGTGAGTTGTGAAAATCTCGCTCGTGATTGGAGAAGTAGAGAGAGAGAGAGAGAGAGAGAGAGAGAGAGAGAGAGAGAGAGAGAGAGAGAGAGAGAGAGAGAGAGAGAGAGAGAGAGAGGGAAGCGCCAAGGCAGACTTGATGGTATGCACCTTGCACTCAGACTACAGGTCCGCGTCACTCACACGCACACACTCTCTGCGTACATTCTCACCTGCAGGTTTCGGTCTTCGCGTCCCACCTGCCGTGCACGCCTTTGCGCGCTGCGTAGGCATTTCCGACCTCTCGGCATCGATCGAAGGTTCTACAAATCGACATGCGACGGTGTATGCCCTGTTGAACGTGCTTGCAGGTGGACCTGGCAATCCCATCGGTATGGGAGATGGATTGGGAGGCCCGGCTCGTAGAATGGATAAAGGTGTGGGAATGAAACCTGTCAAGACGTTGGAGTGGGAGAGGGGAAGGAGATTCAAGAGCGTACTGCAGTAGCTGCTGCTGCTGCTGCTGCTGCTGCTGCTGCTGCTGCTGTCCCGCTCTGATCGACACTCGCCTGCCTTTGCGGATTTTTGGATCAAAATTGCCTTGATGTGAGGCAATGCGTTCTGTCCAAGGGACTGCAACGAACTCGTACAGCTCGGTGCGATGCCGTCAAGTCGGCACTGACTGCATCGTCGCTTTGGATGCCCTGCTTGTTCGGCCCGGTCCAAGCTTGCGCATGGGACACGCACACTGAGCGTCCCCTCCCCCCATCATGAATGCATGCGTACGCGTTTTGTACCCTCAGCAAGTCTGAGTTCCACACCCTCATGTTCCCTCTTGACGCCCACGTCGCGTGGCCCGGCAAGCGCCCACTCTCTTGATTCACGATTGTTGAATTTTGTGCGTGCTTGAACGCGAGCAACCCTACACGCCCCGCATCGCCGTGAGGAGGTGGAGGGTCAGTCAGCATAGCGGAGCTAGACGGCACGCACGCACGCACATCCATTCAATCGTGACTTGAGCGCTTCCAGCAGTGGAGCCTGGGTGCGTCGTTCTGATTGATGGAAAGCTTCATGGAAAGCTTCATGGAAAGCTTATATCTCGATGCATAGACTCACCAGACTTGACACATAGAGTCAAGAGTCAAGAGTCGCAGTCTTGAGTCAAAAGTCGATCCAGCAGGGCGCGGTTGGATGGATTGAGCGCGAGACTACGCACGTGATACTTGGGTTGATCAGATTCTGATTCGTGATTTCGGAGCCCGCGCGATTCACGACCACCGGCATGTGTGCGTAAGTCACAACAGTCAAGAGTCGACGTCGGAGATAAGCGATTCAGTAAGATTCAAGTGATTCAAGATTCACGATTCAAAATCGAGAATTAAGAGGAGGCCAGACAGAGAGCCTAATTGTTCGTTACTTTAATTGTGACTGCTCTGCTCCAACGCCCTCGAACACGCGCGGCGCGACACCTTTGCCACCTGCTGGCTGCGCTTCATCAACTCCTGACTCAACTCTTTTGACTTTTTTTGCACTCGAACTCAAACCTTGACATCTCCCGCTCAGCTCTCTCTCTCTCGCGCGCGCGTGCGTGCCCCGCCGCGACTGCTTCGACGACGACACAAAAAGGGAGCCGCATAAAAAAGTTGCGCAACATACACATTTGGGAAGGGGAGGGGGCGCGCTCAACATGGCACCTGTAGCTGAGATGCAGGCTCGTATGCCAGTTGATGCCTTGTCGAGCAAAGATGTGGACGCTGTTCAAGCTTCTGCAGCTGCAGCTGTGGTATCCAGCGCAGCGGCCCCAGAGACGATTGCCAAGATGTTGCCAGATACGATTCCAGAGGTGAGTTTGGGGTGGGTAGGGGGGCGGTCGGTCGGTGCAATGGCAAATCCCACCATTAACCGCATTCGAACCTCCTTTTCTTCTCGCCTCTCTCTCTCAGAATGCACCGGAACATTGTCCAGGAACGGATTCGGATCAAGCAGGCAAAGCGTCCGCATGTCAAGGATGCGCCAATCAGAGCATCTGCTCCACCGCTCCCAAAGGTCCGGATCCCGATTTGCCGCGAATCGGGGAGAGGATGAAGGGTGTGAGGAATAAGATTTTGGTCATGAGCGGCAAGGGAGGCGTCGGGAAGAGCACCTTCACTTCCATGTTGGCTTGGGCTTGCGCTAGCGATGCTGAGAAACAGGTGAGTGAGTGAGTGAGAGGGGGAAGGCAGGTGGCTAGAGGAAGGAAGAAAAGCGCAGGTGGCGCGGCGTGCGCAATGAGGTTTGGGCGGCTATGCTTTCTCGCAGTTCTGAGAGCGCTTGCACTGCAATTCAGCCTGCTCGTCTCTGCTCTCGATCATCGCTTACCCCCCC